CGTCTAAAATTTCATCATTATTTTCTAAATTTAATTCAGAAATGTTGCTGTCAATAGTTACGAAATGTGTTTGAAAACAAGAAAAATCTTGTTGCAATGTTTGAAGCTCTTTATGGGTTTCAAAAAAAATGCTATTTAATAATGGATGAGTCATTTTTGGTTTAAGTAATACAAAGATACTGTAAAATCATTAAATTTTAAAGGTTTATATATTAATTGTTTGTGTTCAAATAGATTCAAATCAATGCTTAATTTCACAATCTTATGATACTTATTTAGATAACTTTTTTGTGCACAAAAAATTTTTTTTATTATTTATATTAATTATTGTAAATTTGCAGGAAGTTCAAAGATCGTCAATTCAATTTATGAGAATTCTTGAAATTCTATTTTAAATTGGCTTACCGATTACGTAAAATCGCGAAAAATAGGTATAAAAAAAATTATACTATACAAAATAATAATTTTAAAGACTAAAATATATTCTAGAATGTCTATTTTATATAGCACTGTACTTAACTCATTTTGGTAAAAATTGCCAGATACCGTGTTTCTATTGACGAAGCCTCATATATTGATTGATTTAAATAAAGTATTTTTATGTGAATATATTTTATCGATATCATATACTGATTGATTTAAATAAAGTATTTTACTGATATTTATATGCTTGATTCAAATAAAATCTATATATATATATACCGATTGGAAATAGCTAAATATTATAAATATTTATTTCTTTCTAAAATTGAATTTTTTATCAAAAAAATGTCAAAACTAAAGAAATATCATATTAATAAGAATCGTTTAAAAGCTATTTATACTGATACTAAAACTAGAAATTTAGTTGAATGCAAATGTACATTACATTATCATGGTAGTAGATGGGTAGATTCTAGAACGTTTGATAGACATCAACAAGAAATAGAATGGTTTCGATATATTATTTCCAGACAGCGTTATTCTTTAACCTTAAGAAGCATTAAAAATAATTCTGTTGTAACTGAAACAGTATCAGCTTCAAAAAGAAAAAAAGTAATTAAACTGGTTAAACAAAATTACAGTTCGTATGAAGATACACCTAGTGATGATAAATCAACTCCAACTGTTCTAACAGATTAAATTTAATTGATGTACTAAATAAATGAAAACGTTACATAACAAAATATAATATTCTTGATTATGATGATCCAGAAATTATTTCAGATCTATCAGACGATAGGGAAGATTATGAAATTCCGATTAATGATGAAGAGTTTTTTACAGAGGAAGATAATTGTGCTTTGAGTGAAGACAGTGAAGACAATATTCCGTTTGAGCAATTTACTACTCCTGATTTCGATGATTTTGATTCTGATTTAGAACATAGATATTCTAATATGAACATTAATTTCGATAATTCATGAATAGTGTTATGGATATTCAAATATCAATCAAGATTTCGCCTTCCAGACACTACTATTGACACACTTATTAGATTTTTTAGAATAGTTTTGTTAAAAACTGATTGATCACGATTTAAAGGTTTTCCAACAAGTTCCCATATGGCAAGAAATTGTTAGGAGTCAAAAGACAAGAAAAGACATACGCAGTATGTCCAAAATGTAATGCTTTATATAAAATCTCAGAAATCTTAACAAAAAATGTGACTGATCAGTCGAGCTCTGGATTCAAATGCACTTATGTAGAATTTTTAAATTACCTGAGACATAGCAGGAGACAGTCATGTAGAGCTGAGTTGGTCAAATATATGCCAGTAGTAAAAGGCTATATCAAAAGGCCTAAGATCGTCTTTCCCTTACCATTGTAAACGGATCTACAAAGAGATCTGCAAAACTGATTTACAAAAGGATTTGCAGAATGGATCAACCAAATGATTA